AGTATTGGGTACAGTCAACATCCTACAAGTGGGTACAAGTGAAACCAGGTACGGTACGGTGGTACGGTGGTACGGTGGTACGGTGGCACGTTACGATTCTGACTGTTGCCCAGGCGCCAGCCGTGGAGCAAACCTCCTGAAGGGGAAACAACATCAAATTGTGGATATGTGACCTTTGACCAACATTTATCACCATCAACATCACCACAATCATCACCATCATCATTCATCATCACATTTTCTTGTGTAATATCATCTCCTCCCTCCTGCTTTCTTTCGGGCCACACCGGCCACACTGTTGTCTACTTTGCTTAGATTGCCAAAAACGATGAATTCTGCGTGGACTAAGTGAGCAACACACCCACAGAGCACAATATGAGCAGTTCATCGAGACAAACAAAAAGTAACCATGGCGGAATGAACATTTTTTTTAAGCAGAGACAGAGAATTTCGTGGTAATACTTGCCAAAAAAACAATGTTTCCGTACCAACTTCATGTACCTTGCAAGGTTTAATCAAGATTGACTTTGCAAACTAATTTAGTGTACCGTGCAAGCTAAGCCAATTTGATTTGCAATTGACACAATCTGATTCTTTTGCTAGCATTGCAGGCTGAACTAATTTCTCTAACAAATATTGATTTTATTATAGTTTGCTTGAATGCTGGCCATTACAAAATACAGATGAACATGAACTGCTTGACTTCACCCCTCAGCTTTGTTCAATGTAGCCTTTCCGCTGTTGGATCAAACCTCCAACTCATTATACACAACCACAAAACACACAAACTGTTCATGACATGTAGCTGTGCAGATCTGTGTAGCCCATTTCAACACCAAAACCCTGTGTAGAATGGGTTGGTAGGAAAAATCAACTCAATTGAACAAGCATACCACGAAAGACAGGCCGCCTTAGTATCAAATCAAAGCCGACTCAAAACACATCTCAATGCCGCTGACTTAGTTGGACATTGCACATCCCTATTCCGGCCGTACCGTTAAAGGCAGCCTCGTTCCATTCGGTACTGGTTTAAGCCTTAAATTCACGTCATGTTGCAAGGCACAAAACATGCCATCAAGTCCTTTACAAAAAAATATTCGAGCAAAGCTGTCAGAAAAGACTTTCAATCAATTGTTGGAAATAGTTGTGTGATTTGTGAGTATCCTTATCGGAAATTTAGCAATTCAGTCAAACAACCGTTAGCTCCAGAAATATTGTTAAGAAATATTGTTAGCTTCAACATCCCATATATTATATATTTAAAACATATGTTAGATTTTTTAAACATGTTAAAACTAGTTTGTTTGTCAATCACTTAATAAATTTACCAGGTTACCAATTTAAAAATATCATATGGTTTAGTCTATGTCATAGAGTATGTAGAATACATTCTTTTTTAATTTCAGCGATTGTATATCAAATTTCATCATTTTTGTACTAGCAGTTACTAGATTAAATTGTATGTGTGTAATAAATATAATATACATATATGTGTGTGCGCCGTTATTGATAAACATATAGTCACTGAAATGCTTTCTCGACGTCGACAATGTATGGTTTGTTTTGGGATTGTTTTCACAATTATAATATTCAAGATTTAACAATCATCAAAGTATCGTCCCACTGTACCATACATCATCTACTGTACAATCGTACCATGGTACCATACATATACTATATCATTGTACCAACGTACCGTACCACCGTACCTATCGTACCAGGGGTATATCGTACCAGGATTTAAGTATCTATAATCACACCTATCTTGAACCTAGATAATGCATAACATCCTCGACCCTCCACTGCCGAGGAAAAAATGGTCGTTCTAAGAAGATAGGTCAAACAAACCAAAACATGATTCACTTTGTTCCAAACATGTATGTTTCCGGGAAAATCTCAGCACTACGGCCGGGTACACAAACCGTGATGATTTTTGGAAAAACAAAAAAACCCGAAAACTACCTAAAACAACGAGATTTCAGGATTTTCGGGTTTTTGCGTTTTTTTGGTGAATTTTTGGCGTTTTTTTTTGCGGGGTTGCGGGCTTTATCCCTAGTCGTTTGATGCGCTGCAAACATTTTTTGGCCTTTGTCTCACCAAACAAAAAAACATGCAATATCATGCAATCAAAGCCCTAAAATCGAAGACCAAAGTAGTATCTAGGTGTTTGGGGTAAAATCAGTCGATATAGGTCAAATTCCGAAAACACATATTTTTCTAGGATTTGGAGGGTCGAGGATATCATATATATATATATCATATATTTTGAAATATTTTATATATATATATGATATAATGCCAACACCGGAGTAATAAACGCCCCCCCCACAAGGTCAGATGGACCTTGTCAGGTCTTTTCTGTTTCACCCCATGTAGAGAGAGAGAGAGAGAGCATATATATATATATATTTGTATTTATATATACCTGGAGTCTCCACTACCCTTTGTTTTTGGGGTCGTTTGCAAAACACCTCTTTTTTGGGTACGTTTGATACTTTTTGGGGTCGTTTCATGCAAAAAAGGCCTTTTATCTTCCAAGCAGGTGCTGGCTATATACACTAAGCATTACTAAGCTAAATCATGTGAGCGTTTTGTGCTTGTCCTGTCTGATGTTGGATCAGGCACCCTCACACATCATTCAGACCCAGGCGCGTAACTAAAACTTCATGGCCGAACAGCTTTGGATCCACAATTCGCGTCTAACTCTAACTATAAAACCTTCGCCTGCTTTTTGTAATTTAATGAGCTGCGGGGGCAGACATTTGCACATTGCGACACTTATGCGGAACATTCACGGGGTTTGAGGACATCCACTCGCCCTGATCTTGTGGTGCCAGCTGCTGAAACAGTTTTGACGGATGGACGGACGTGAAGAAAAAGGTGTTTTTTGGAAAAAAAGTCCTTTTGGTTCGGACGGGTCCAAACTGGACGGATATTTCCGTACTTTGGACGCATTTTTCCGTACTTTCGGACGCCGTCCGGACGGCCCTCAGCAAAAAAAGGAAAAAGGTACGTTTGAAGAAAAAAAGGCCTTTGCATGTTTGCGTTGTATGGGCAAATCTTCCAAGGACAAGTGTCACCAAATTTGAGCAATGCACCCGCATGTCCGCAACTGAGTGTTGAGACCTACCCTCATGCGTGCAATAATGAAAGAGCAAAGCGCGTCCAAAAATAAAAGCAAGGAAGATCGAAACCATGGCATCAAACATGTAAACGAGAACCAATACTTTGGAAATCTTTGCTCCTGCATCTTCAAGCAGCCAAAACAAAATGGCACCTGCAACAGTGAGTTGCAAGTTGGCAATGTGGCACATTTATTTGATTTCCACAGTTTCAGCTGTACCTCCATGAGTGAACATCACTAACATGCAAAAACAGTACTTGATTTCAAAAAAGTACTTTTGGAATTTCTTGAAAGACACCAAAACATACAGGGTCGTTGGAGAGTCAAGGTATATATATATATATATATCGGTATATATATATAATATTATATTATATATTATTATATTATATTATATTATATTGTATTGTATTATATTAAATTATATTTTACTATATTATATTATGTTACTTTGTATTTTATTATGTTGTAATATACTATATATTATTATGTTGTATTATATATTATTAAATTATATTATGTTATATTATATTTTGTTATACCCTCCGACGGGGTGTTCACGCGCAGACACATGGCGGAACGTGCATTTTGTACTGGTTTTTACAATGTTTTGTGCTTCTCTACAAGGTAGCCCTGGGGGGGGGGGCAGGAACAACCTTTTCTTCGACCATTTGCACTGGTTTTTACATTGGTTTTTCGCGTTTTCGCATTTTTTTCTTGGCACCATGTGCGTTTTCCTTTGGTTTTTACAGTGTTTTCAGGCTTCATGACGTTGCTGCTGCTATGTTGGACATTCGTGTGGGGTGGGGAGGGGATGTTAACGTTCCATATAACTTAAAATAGTTGTTGATGCTACGCCACGCTGGGGTGGGGGGGATGTTAACGTTCCATATAACTTGCTCACGTTGTTGATGCTACGCCACGCTGGGGTGGGGGGGGATGTTAACGTTCCATATAACTTGCTCACGTTGTTGATGCTACGCCACGTGGGGGGGGATGTTAACGTTCCATATAACTTGCTCACGTTGTTGATGCTACGCCACGCTGGGGTGGGGGGGGATGTTAACGTTCCATATAACTTAAAATAGTTGTTGATGCTACGCCACGCTGGGGTGGGGGGGGATGTTTTCTCCAAAGAAGAGAAAGGTAACTGTTGTCGGTGGAGATAACAGTGCCGAGTCAGAAGTTGCCAGAGGCAAGCAGCAGTTGAGACGAATTAATCGTCTAGGAAGGAGCAGTCCAGCCAACAATCACATTGACTTGCTGGCCGCGAGACGCCTTCTCTTGAAACCAGGCCTGATGACTGTGCTGAAAGCACTGGAGATATACAGACTCCACAGGCTCGGCTCTTTAGGTCGGCATCCTGAGACAGCCTTTTCGCAGGAGGACGCTGACTTCTTGTTCAGCTAGCCGAAGATCTGACTCAGCAAAGGTGAAAAACCAAGTCGGCCGCGCGTGAACAGGCCGTCCGACCGTTGTTATATTATGTTATATATTATATTTTGTTATATTATGTTATATGTTTATTATGTTTTTTAGTTTGTTGTATTATGTTATTTTATATTATGTTATGATATGTTGAATTATATTTTGTTTTATTATATTATATTATATTTTTATATTATGTTGAATTATATTTTGTTATATTATATTACTTTATATGTTATTATGTTTTATTCTGTTATATTATAAAATATTATATGTTATTTTGGAAACAATCCGACTGGAGAGTGACCTAAGTTGTGCAGCTGCAGTGAATTTCATGAACGACCGAGCTCTTGGATCAAGTTCAATGTGAACGTGAATGAATCAATACATGTATCAGATTTCATGTCTTGTGTTTGGTCACTTTTTACTGGTAGGGGGTTTTCGTGCCATGGCTTCATTTGCAGATGGCTTCTTTGAGCCCTGCCAGTTCTCTGCACCAAAGTCCCCAGGTGACGCTCAGCCCAGTGGATCAGCGAGGCAGCCAGCATTTCCTCTGACTGGTGAGTCAGGCTTGTCAGCGGTTGATGTGGATGCTGATGGACCAGCAGACTTCCTAGGTTCACCCAGCAATCATGATGCTGCCATCGACCAATATCAAGATGCTGATGACGAGGCTGCACCTGGGGACCTCAAAGGTTTCAGGAAACGATGGTCCAAGAGAAGAAAGGTGACCGAGGAGACCGAGTACAGTCCATCCTTGCTACAGGAACAGTTCCCGCCGGAGCCTCCAGTTGAGCGCCTTATGAAGATTAGTTCCAAGAATGATGACTCTGCATCGTTTGTCAATGCTTTTGTGGATAGGATCACTCCATCAACCATAGTGATGCCTTGGGAGAATGCTTTCATGGCGCCAATTTTTGGAAGTCAGTTTTGTGAGACAAAGCTTTCAATGCCGGCCCAATGGAGTGAGACGTTTGCAGACCCACTCAAGCATGCGATGCCAGAAGCAACACCAGACGCAGTAGCGCCAGTTGACTTCAGAGTGTTGAAGTGCATCAGGAACCTGGCCGACATGGACTTCATCCAAGCACGAGAGAAGAAGTTGACCAACGCGCTGGTGAAGATCAAGTGCGTCCTTGAGATCAACTGGGACGCCAGCGGTGTAGGCCGTCAGTGCTTGGATAGCTCTGGCGTGCCGCGGCCCGACATGGAAGACACTCTGACCTCAGTCATTGGCACAAGGTCACCATCAACAGTTGTCAAGAGATGCAACGCCGTATTGGCCTATCACAGGTGGCTTGCAACATGGGTAGATGCTACAGCTATCCCCTTCTCTGAGCCGCTCGTGTGGGACTATCTGGTTCACCTGCGGCGATGTGGTGCGGCCGCAACTAAGGCGATGTCGTTCGTCCAGACACTCAGGTTTTGCCAGCACGTCTTGCAGGTGGATGGGGCTGACCTTTGCGTTGCCAGCCGACGGTTGGTAGGTCAGTCTGAACTCCAAGCAGCATTGAAAGGGCCTACCAAGCAAGCACGGCCGCTGACAGTGATGGAAGTCAGGAAGCTGCAGAAGTTCATGGCTGACCCATCCAAGGAATTGCAAGAGAGGTTGATTTGCAGCCACCTGGTCCTCATGATTTACACTCGAAGCCGCAACAGTGATCTGGCATACGTGGAAGGCATCTCTCATGACAATGCAGTGCGAGAGGGCCGGGATGAGTTCAGCGGGTTCATCCAATTTACAACTCGGTACCACAAATCTGCCAGGTCAGTCGAGACCAAGTCCTTGCTCATGCCCATCATTGCTTGTGGTGAATCAGTCGGGCCCGAACCATGGTTGGACTTGTGGATGTCCTTGCGGAAGAAAGCTGGCCTGCCGACATCAGGTCGCCTCGAAGGCGCTGTCATGCCAGCTCCAGATCTAGCCCGGCTGGGGCAATGGCTGGTGCGGCCAATTTCCTGCGCCGAAACCACCAAGCTGCTTCGGGCCTACCTTCAGTGTGATGACGCTGACTTGAAGTCCCACTCTTTGAAGCGCACAGCCCTTAGCTGGGCGGCCAAGGCTGGTGTGGATCGAGAGCAACGCAGACTACTCGGTCGCCACGCCAGTGCAGTGCAAGGCTCCGACAGCATCTATGCAACAGACCTCATGGTTGACCCGGTGCGTGCCGTGGGCGCTGTCGTGAAGCTCATCCGAAGTGATCAGTTTCTTCCTGATGGAGACAGGTCTGAGTTTTTCCCTCAAGGGAATCCTGCCGATCCCACTGCACCGGTCTTTCAACCGAAGACACCGGGCACCTTCAAGATGCCGATGACTCCTGCGCCGCTGAAGGAGCCGGTTAAGGCGCCAGAGGTGCCAGGTCTGGATGTGAAGGAAGAGCCACCAGCCATCAAGGTTGCAGCCCAAGTGATTGAAGAGATCGACCTGGTCACCTCCGACTCAGAGACATCTACTAGTGGTGATGACTTTGTGGAGTCCGAGTTGGAAGACGAGCAAGAGCTTGAGCCTGCAAGCCGCGACGTCCTGAATGAGGACTACAACGATGCCTGGGTCCAACATAAAAAGACCAAGACCATCCATGCCATCAAGGGCATGGGAAACCAAGTGTCCGACTCAGTCTATGCCAATGGTGAGATCATGCAAAACAAGGCCACAAAGTGTGGCAGGCTCACCAGCTCCAACTTTACCGTCGTCAAGGAGATTGCGGACTGGACCTCGAAGTGCCGCCTGTGTTTCAAGGGTAACAGAGACCCTTATGCCCAGTTTCGTTGACCTGGAGGCGGTGTCAAAAAGGTTCAGTTGGAGCAGTTGGCAAGTGTCAGTTGCAGTGAGTTACATGTGTAATCTCATTCATTTGTTTTCGCACTGATGTCAGTTGTTCATTGAGCAGTCATGTGACAGCTGCGTCCTATGTTGGACGACCTGCCTATGTTGGCAGGGTGACAGCCACCTATGTTGGTGAGCTGGGACTCATGTGAGTCCAATACCCATGCATGTGCATGGAAGGCTGATATGTTTCAGCAGTGTCATGTGACACCGGCTATGTTGCCTGATCATGCAATGTTGCAGCCTTTTATGGCCCGTGAAGTCAGCCTGCATTTGAGCAGGACTGCATTGTGCACCAGCATCTCAACTTGCACAGGTTTGCAGCGTTGCATCATTTTAGACTTTCATGTGTACTTGATGCGATTTACTTAACTTTCCTCTTGTTAGCAACTGTCAGGTGGTATCATTTTTGCACTTGCTTTGTTTCTGTTTTGCACCGTTGCCGCCTGCAGCCATGACATCCATTGTGGAGTCTGAAGCCCATTTCAGGAAACGTTGTCAGGAGACAGGCTTGTCTGACCGTGGCCTTGCAGCCGTGATAGCGTCAGGGTACTCAAACCTTGGACAATTGGCATTTGCCAGTGGCCAACCAGGCCAGCCGTTGAATGAAGCTGATTTTCAACGCTTTGGACAGAATGTTTTGGGAGGCCTGGCCACCATGGCCGACATGAGCACATTGAAGAGGTTGGTTTTTGAAGGGCAGACAATGCTGCTGGCCCAGCTGCGAGATCAGGTGGTGAACCCTGACGCTGCCAGCACTCGAAAGCTGCCAGCGGTGGAGAGGAGCACCAAAATGCAGAACTTGAAGGCACGCTTGGCCGGAGTGGTCATCGAGAAGGCGTTAGAACCTAGCTACGCCCTCCTGGATGCAGTGGCTCAGCAATGGGAGTCAAAGCAGTTGGCATACCTCTCTCCTGAGAAATGTACATCCAGAGAATGGGAGATCACTATGTCGAAAACGGCCAAGCAGCTATCCATTGACACTGACAAGCTGCTGGTGAAGAGCGAGCAGTCTGTGCCTGACCAGCAGGTATCAACCGAGATGCAGGTATTCGAAGCACTCAGACGCCGTGGCATAGCCCTGGCTTTCACGGACTCCCTGTCTTGGGAGGTCCATGAGAGGTACCTTCAAAGGCTTTTTCAACACCTTCGAAACGATGCACCAGAAGGATATACAAAGACCACGCTTCAGCAGGTCCTACGTGCAGATCGTGAAGTTTTCATGCACATGATCCAGCGGGACGTGTCGATGAGGAGGTCGCCGGACAATACACTGGCGATGGATACAGCCATCCTTGAAGCTGTATCATCATACGAGGTTGGCTTCCACCTGATGCCGCTGCCCAAGAAGGTTGAGAAGGCAGAACCGAAGCAACAGCCTGCTTCGTTGTATGGAGGATGGCAGTCTGGGCGGCGTAATCCACAGCAGCCCTATGCAAAAGGCTCGGGGAAGACCAAAGGCAAAGGCAAAAGCAAGCGGGCAGCCGGCATGGTCCCCAAGGAGCTCCAAGGTCGAGACAATGTGTCCATGGACACACATGGCAGGAGGCTGTGCTTCGAGTTCAATATGGGGCGTTGCACAAAGGTCCCCAATGGTGGCGAATGTGACCGCGGTTTTCATTTATGCATGCGACGAGGATGCCATGCACCCCATCCTGAATCAGAGCACCCTGCCAAAGACAAGGGCACGAGCAAAGCCACCGCTTGACTATATGAGCGGATTCAGAGGGCTGCCGCCCGTGGTGCCTCGCTGGCTGATTGCCTGGTCATTGAGGTATTTGCAGGAAGCAGCCGGGTTACGGCATGCCTACGCCAGTTGGGTTTAGGCAGTAGCTTCGGAGTGGACTACAAACGACACAAGGGTGCCGCTGGTCCAGTCATACTTGCAGACCTGTGCACGCCTGAAGGCGTTGCGCTGCTATGGTCGTGGCTGCAGAACGAACAAGTTCTTGCAGTATTTTTAGCGCCGCCTTGTGGTTCCGCCTCCAGAGCGAGACAGATACCGCTGAAGAGAAAACATTTCGGCCATCCATCCCGGAGACATCATGGGCCACGACCACTGCGAGATGATGCAAACCCCAATGGATTACCTGATCTATCTGATACAGATAAGCAGAGGGTTTCTTTGGCAAATCAACTTTATTTTCTGACTGCACAGATTGTTCAGTGGGCCGTTGAAAACGGAGTCATTGTATGTGTGGAAAACCCGCAGTTCAGCCTTTTTTGGGCCACGACCTTTTGGCAACAGGTTGCACATCTTTTGGAATATTCTGTTTTTCACTCATGTCAATATGGAAGTTTACGTCAGAAGAAAACGATGTTTGCGTTCAACATTGATGAATTCCATGCAATCAATGCCACCTGCAAAGGGCAGAATAGCAAACACAAGCATGCTGCGTGGGGTTACAACCGAAAAACCAAGTCATTTGCCACTGCAGAAGAAACAGCATACCCCATGGGGCTTTCGAAGATGATTGCAATGGTCATTGTGCGCTGCTTGATCCGATTGGGCATTCAAGCCAATCCGGAGACATTGGAGGCAATTCAACCTGTGTCCCTCCAAGCGTTACAAAAGATGAGAGCAGCGACAGGAACCCAGTCGAGATCTAGCAGGATTCCAGCGCTGGTGCCAACATACCAGACGCGTTTTCGACTGGCAGGGACGGAAGATGACCTCCCGAGTGCACATCTTTTTCAACGGCTGCGGGATGATGTCACCATTGCCTCCAACCCATTGCAAGTTCTACCTAAAGGTTCCAAACTTCTTGCAATTACCCCGGCTGACAGCCTTGTAACGGGGGATGATGAGTTTTCGCAGCCGGAGGTATTCAAGCTCAGTGCACCTGATACAAATGATGCGCCCCAACTCCTGCAAACATGGGGCATTCCCTGGAAACCAGAGCAGTTTGTTGATCAGGTGGTACAAGCTGGGCACCCAATGGACATGGCGACCTTTTTGCCAGCCAGGTTGAAAGCGCTGTTGGAGACCTATAAATGCAAAGACTGCGACAAGAGGAACAGTGACAGGTTGTCAGCAATGCAGTTTTGGTTGAAGCGTGCTCTGGACCTCAAGCAATCAGAGCGCGAGCTGCATGAGAGCCTCCACCCTGGCGTTGCACAAGTGCTGAATGGGAAGCGTATTTTACTTTGGCGACAGATGCTTGAATCAATTGAGTATGAGGACATGGGTGTTGTGGAGGAATTCTCAGCTGGAACCCCTTTGACTGGGGAATCGCAGGTGACAGGGCTATGGCCCAAGAAGTTCAGGCCAGCATCCATGACGGCATCTGACTTGGAGAAGGTGGCTTCAGCTCAAAGGCCGCTGCTTACATATCAATCTTTTGAGTTCATGGACGCCGACATCATAGCAGCAGTTTGGCAACAGTCACAGGATGAGGTGGCAGCAGGTGAGCTTGAAGGCCCCTTCGACATTGAGGACCTGCCCCTTACGTTTCCTCTGAGCAAGAGGTTCGGCATCAAGCAGTCCTCGAAGATCCGATGTGTGGATGACTTCACACAATCATCCATCAATGCCTGTGCACAGACTTGTGAATCGCCGAAGCCTCACACCGTGGACATCCTGTGCAGCATGTGCCTGGGCCTCATGGGCATATCAGGAGATGGAACTGTTTGGCAGGCCCGCAGCTTTGACCTCAAACGGGCGTACAGGCAGTGTGCAATACGTCCAGACCATGCTTGCCACAGTTTCATCGCAGTAGCAAATCCAGAAGCCCAGCAGGTGAAATGCTTCAAAATGCGTGCGTTACCATTTGGCAGTGTAATGTCTGTACATTCATTTTTGCGTGTGGCACACAGTCTGTGGGCGATCCTTGTGACAATTTTCAATGTCTACATCTCGAATTATTTCGACGATTTTGTGGCGCTGGCTGCGGTGCCCGAAACACAGACTGTTACAGCCGCAGTTAGCATGGCCTTCAAGGTGCTTGGTTGGGCTTTTGCCGAAACAGGTGACAAGGCGCCGCCTTTTGCTTCACTGGTGACGGCCTTGGGTGTCACGATCGACGTTTCATCATTGCATTGCGGCACCGTGACCATAGACAACACCCCGAACCGCAAGATGGAGATCTCAGCGATGCTACAGCAGGTGCTTGAGCAAGGGTCTCTTCCTCGCCAAGAAGCACTCAAACTTCGGGGACGGCTGCAGTTTGTGGCTGGCCAGATTTTCGGCCGGGTGGCAAAGAGGTGCCTTGCCATTGTTACGCAACATGCGTACGGTGAACATGGGCCGATGATATCAGACGAGGCCCGGCAAGCACTTCAACTTTTTCATCAACTCATCAACATGGATGTGCCCCGCACCTTATCATTGACGAACGCTGCAACGTGGTTCATTTTCACAGATGCTTCATATGAACCTCAGCAGATGTCAGCAGTTGCAGGCATTGGTGCTGTGCTTGTGGATCAACTTGGAAATCGATGTGGATTTATTTCATTGTTTTTGGACGAAGGCATGCTTGAACGTTTGAATGCAACAAACAGGAAGACGATCATCTTTGAATGCGAACTTTTTGCAATTTTCATATCAATGTACTGCTGGAGGAAGCGGCTTTGCAATTCACAGGTTGATGTGTGCACAGACAATGATGGTGTGAAAGATGTCTTGATTGCGTGCCAGACCTCAAGCGTGAATGCCAGCCCAATCCTTTGCGCGATTTTACAACTTGAATTTGATTTGAGGTGGAACGCATGGTTCAGCAGAGTTCCAACAGAATCAAACATAGCTGATGATCCATCCAGAGGACAGATACAACATTTCCTTGACAAAGCAATCCCTCAGTTCGAGGTGGACATGGACAAGCTTTGGACAACCCTGCTGGAACTTTCTACGAGGGGAGGCTTTGACCAGCAACGTGTTGCCCCTGCAGAAAAAGAACTGAGTGCGAGGTCAGCTGCAAGAACTTAAGGAAACAATCCGACTGGAGAGTGACCTAAGTTGTGCAGCTGCAGTGAATTTCATGAACGACCGAGCTCTTGGATCAAGTTCAATGTGAACGTGAATGAATCAATACATGTATCAGATTTCATGTCTTGTGTTTGGTCACTTTTTACTGGCCCACCCACGGCCGCCCTTTCACCAGTAAAGTGGCCAAACCCTTAGCCTGGCTTTGACCAGCAACGTGTTGCCCCTGCAGAAAAAGAACTGAGTGCGAGGTCAGCTGCAAGAACTTAAATCATATTTTTTTTATTATATCATATATATAATATATATATATCATATCTTATATTTAAACATAGGGCATATATATATATGATATATATTTTATGATACATAATATATATATATGATGTATACATATATATATATGTAGGATGTATATATATATATATATATTTATTTATTTATTTCCTATAAATCAAGGGAGAACTATATATATATATTAAAGAAACAATCCAACCACTTGATGGCACCGATGCGAGCATTTTTTTTTTGGGGGGGTAGGGTGTTTGAGGTTGGCCACCATTTGTAGGTCATTTTCCTTGGAGAAAACCATCAGGGCATGGGAAAATACGGAATACTAAACGCCGAAGATACTGAATTTAACGTATTTTAACGTGACAACCAGATATGATAAATAAATATAGTCTATTTTTTTTTTGGATTTTTGATATACTTCTAATACTAATAATCATTGCAAGAATAACAATACTAATGTATACATGCCCCAACCACAGTCAGGGTTAGTTATATTTGTTTAAACCAACTGGTGGGGATGAAGCAGCAAAACTGTTGATTCGTGCCCTTGATATGGGTAAACCGACTGGGGACTGGTGAAGCAATTTGAAGCAAGAACGGGATTTCAACCCGCCCAAAAAAAACAAGTCAATTTCATTGGATTTGTTGAAGGGAAAATCTACAGGAAACCACGGAACAGCGTGATTTTTTTACAATTGAACATACATACATTTTGACTATTGATGGAAGGTTTCGCTTGGAGTTTGGTGTTTCCATGTTGATTGAGGTAGTTAATGCACATTCGGCAGATCATCAAGCGATAAGTCCATTGTTCCTTAAGTCCATTGAGTCCATGTACAAAACAGTTCATCGGGGAGGGGTGGAGCAGGGACCATTTTGAGAACCAGATAGCAATTGGGACTTGAATGCTTGAGCCTGTTTCCTTCCAATGATGTTCATGTTTTTCAGTTTAAGTGAAACTTAAGGGACCATCAAATGGACCATCTGGCCACTCTGGTCATAACTGGACCACAAGGCATCCGATCTCTTGGCTGAGCTCCCAAGCGACCTGCCCAAGGGCCTGTCGTTGGTGCTGGCCGCGCGGCAAGGGCAACAGCACCTGGTGGATGCGCTTTTGAGCAGCCGGGTGGAGGCGAAATTGCGAAAACTGGGATTTGATGAGGGTTTTGATGGTGATGTTGATTGGATATTGATAGAACATACCCAGATTCACCTTGGATGGGTACTGGACAAATCCTATCTGCAAATTCGGAATACTCACCGGCTATAGGATGATTTAGGTACAGAATTATGGAAGCTCGTTTGAATCATGGTTTATTACATTAGGCTTGTATGTATTGTTTTTTTTGGGACGGTTTTTGATTTTGAAAAAAACATCGAAAACGGCAGAACCACGCGTACTTCATTTACGCAAATTGTTGCGGTTATCACTCATTGATATTGTATAACAAGTTATAACAGGTATTTAGAAGATTTTTTAACCCACTGATAACAGGGATTTATATATAATATATTGGGTAATTCCTGCTTGTTGTGTTCATTGTTTTAATGAATTGAACTGTTTTGATCCATACTCGTTGGTTCCCTACATCGATACACTGAACTTCATCAGGTCAGCAGATGTTGTTGTTTTTCATGTTTTTGTTTGCAGTGATTGTTGGATTCGGTTGGCAGCGGATGCCATTTAAATCATTCAACGCAACTCCGCATCAACATTAGAAGCCTCTGCGACGGGGGATAGCTGTTTGGACTTCGGGATTGTGTTCATATCCCTGCTGAATTCAAAGAATTTGGATATGTTTAGAGCCCAATTACCTCCAAGCATCACTGGCTTGAAGTTTTGGAGTCAGAAGGTCAGGCACAGCAAAAGTCTGATAAACACTATGCTGTTTTCCGTCAGTTTTGAGGAAAGACAAGCGCATCTCCAAGATGACAATGTGGGTTTGTCGAAAGTCGAAAGATAGGGCTTTACTTTGATGGTTGATAGATGGTCATCATGTTCCCCACCATCATTTTCCTTATCAAGAATGCAATGTTACGCTCTATTTCAGGCAAACCCAAATGTAATAGTGTTGATCATACATCCGTCCAATTTTATCCCATCCATGGTTTGGCTTCATACCATTGTACCACCATGTTTAACTGTTAAATCATTGTTGTTTTTAATGGTGCATCGCAGCTCGCCCGCCACAAATATATTGAATTCTCATTGGATATATATATAGTTGGGATTGCATCAATGTATCCCATTGATCCCCTTAAACTGCATCATTTGTACGAGCGCGCCACCATTTTTAGCGTTTATAACTTAACAATGTTATTTGCAATCACACATGTTTTTAAGTTGGATATATAGTTTGTTCATCGTGGTTACATATATTATATACATATTTATAAAAGCAAGTATAAACACATAACTTACATATCATTTATATTCATATGTATAAATATATATACTGATATATATATATACTGATATATATATATATACTGATATATATATATATATATATATATTTACTGATATATATATATATATAGAATGTACACACATGATACTCTCCCCAGCACCCCCTAGGACGCTGCTGCCAGGTTGACTCTCGTGACCCCCACGGCGGCACTGCTTTGCTGCGTGCCGTTCAGCTGGGTATCGGCGCGCGGCCGACGATCCAACGGCTGCTGGAGGCCAGCGCTGAGGTCGGCGCCCTGAGCGATGCTCGGTCGCCATGGCGCTAGGGCGGGGTACCCCAAGCTGGATGGCTATGGTCGGTCTATGGTCGGTACCCCAAGTTATGGATGGCTTATTTCATGGAAAATCCAGCAATGGATGAGTTGGGGGTACCCCCATTTTTTGGGGGAACCACTGGAACCACAGTAGGGATTCTAAACAATCCGTGGCGCCATGGAGGTTATCGCTGGGAAAATCATGGAAGTAAATAGCGAAAATGGTGATTTACTTCGATGATTTGCTTGTTATGCGGGTGATTTTCCATAGCTATTTGAACTGCTTGAAATGGCCTGGATGATTGGTGATCAGATGGTTTCATGGGATTTTGGTGGGACTTAAAAACCGATGAGTTGTATAGGCTTTTGAGGGTTTTTCACTACCAAAGATATGGGGATAGATGTGATTGAGAAATAAACTGATACTACTTTATGATGGTCTCTATGGACCGTTTGGTTCCCTCCAAATCGCTACTGCTATGCCCTTTCAAAATGCTCTTTCAAATGATTATGGATGTGTCCATCAAACAAATCAGTGAGAATCAAATCTAGCAGCTAATGGACAAATTCTCGGAAAGACAAGAAGTGCGGATGTTGATTTGCATGTCCAGATTTCTATGCCACAGCGGTGCAAACGTTTGGGGCCAAGTGGCATTTCATATGGTGTATTGAAAGTCTAGGTGGTTTCAGTTGATTCCACAACAGTGAAAAGGTTGAATCCTACACCTCCGATTGGGGATAGTTTGTATAGGACCCCATGTTGGTGAAAACTGTGAACCTTTTATTGTTGCAACTAGTGCCTCCCGCTACCCAGATAGATAGATGGATAGATAGATCGTCAAGAACTGCTGTTTAAAGATGTCGCTTGTTGGTGGTTAATATGCCCAAACTGGCCCAAACTATGTCGGGGTGTCGAATCCCCATGTCCTCAGGATTTTGGTGAGACACCTCTTAGCGAAGCAGCCAGCTCCATGCACAGATTGGGATCCAGACGATGTTTGCTGCCAACCAAATGCAGGAAATATGATGATTGAAATGGCATCGAACCAAAAATCCAAGATGCAATATTACTGAACATGGGTTTGATATGGTTTGATTATGTTTGATTGGTGTTGTAGGACACTCCAGTCAGTTGGGGGGACCTTTCAGGCGGGCCTTCATACCTTTCAGGTGTCACAAAAAGAAGATTTATGCTGAATGATTCAATGATACCATTTCCCGGCAGAAAAACATACACTCTCGGCTTACAGATCATCCAGTTGTGGCGATATTGAGTTTCCATGAGAAATCAATCGCGAACTCTGTGGTTGTGGCCATGTTCTGTATGTTTATACAATATCCTTTTCCATACGAGTGATTCGCCACTAAAGTCGAACTAATCCTATCAAATCACGAGGTTAGTAGCAGCAGTATGTATATGATATATATATATATAGTGTATATACATATTACAGATCATGAATTTATACATAGAAATAGAACAAGAAAAAATCCTATACAGTAGAGGTTAGAACCCATAAAAATCAACCAAACATAAAAACAATACTATCCAAGGAAAAAAAGCAAAAACAAAACATTGTTGAATAATCATTAATCAATGAAAAATATGGAAACCAATCTTAACACAACGGCATACAAACCACTCCAACCCAGGTTCCGGTTCCGTGGAACTTCTGCAAAGTCTCCTGGACGCCTCTCGGCTTGTGCCGCCTCCCAGCCTTCTGGGCGCGGCCTTGGCGAAGGCAGCGGAGGCCAAGCAGCGCGGCACCACGCGTTGCTCAGCGGAAAATCATGGGGAAATCATGGGAAAAATACCAGAAAATTGTAAGAGATCATGGGGAAACATGATAGATATGGAAAATCATGGGAACATCATGGTGGAAGCTATGGACAAAATATTGGAAACTATGGAAAACCATCGGAAATTATATATCGGGAACTATGGAAAAATCATGGGACGCTATGAAAAACTATAGGAAACTTTCTATGATGGATGATTATAAATAGGCATTTCAGTGGGAACGTGATCGAAGTATTGGTGGATTATCCAGCTACCGATCACGCCGGCAGAGGAGAGACATGGAGGATTTCATGCGCAAAAATAAGGGGAGAATATGGGAGAAACGATTGTCTTCCAGCAGTTGGTATAACTGGATCTATGGCAATCTATAGAACTGTGGGTAATATGGGTGATATCTTGAGGCAATACTTTAAACTATAGCAGATTTAATTCGTAGCTTTAAGGTTCAACATCGACCCACGGATTTGGTGGGAGAATTCAACGGAAAGGTCGGAATCTTAGAGGAAAAGTCAATGGCAAACCAATCCCTTCCCCTAAACTTGGAAATCACAAACTATATAAAAAACAAAACGCCATGAAATGCCACGAAGACTGGGATTGGAGACTTGGAGGGATCATCCCGCGTAGTATCTAACTAACCGGCTTCTTCTAGTTCCATTTGGGCGAACTCGGAATCGGGGATTTTTTTTTGTGTGAAATGTGAAATGTGTCAACTAACCGGTTGGATAGAATCGTCATGTGGACCATAAACCGTATCAGCGCACTGGATTTTACCGAAACATACCATGCGGGTCCATATGAAAAAATATGGATCGCCAAACAAGTGGCCATGTAAACGTTGGGAGTACCACATTGCCCGTTGGGAAGCTGAAAGGTCGAGTGTTTGATGATATACCCTCCGGACCCCGGTAGTCAAACATGGCGGCCAATATGGCGTGCTGGAAAATCCATCATTTGGCTCGAGGATTTTCCTAGCGGCCATGTGTCATGACAGAAAATCTGACCCATCGATGGTTTTCTGGCTGGTGCTTTGGAACATGAATTTTATGACTTTCCATATGTTGGAAATTTATGGAAATTTCATAATCCCAACTGACTTTCATATTTTTCAGGGGGGTTGAAACCACCAACCTGAAAACATCTCAAGCTCTGGATTTTCTCCCCAGGATTACTGCTGGAGCAGAAGGCTCCACCGTTGCTGGAAGCCCTTTTCGGCTGGATCGACTGCGCAGATTTGGAGATGATGACGGCGCTTTTGGAGCGAAAGGCCTCAGTCAACGAGTGCCTCGGCTGCGAGGATTGGATGGAGGGAAGATTGGGGGTTATTCAATTTCAGTATATGTTTTTTCAATTAAGAACAAAAAGGCAAGAAAACCCTCCAAAATCCCAACTAAACCCCAACTAAATCCCCAAAAGATGGTCTTCAACAGTATTTTTGTTACCATTTTTCAAAATCGGGGTGTCCTAGGCGCCGTGAGCACGACGGCGAGACGGCACTGGTGGCAGCTTCGGCTTCGCGTCCAGAGGTGGTGCTGCTGCTCTGTCAGTGGAAGGCGGAGGTGAACGCAGTGAACCGCCGCTCAGCAGATCGGCTGGGGGGGTTCCTATGAGATGACTTTTAAGGCTTTAAGGGGGGCTTAAAGGGGTATAACTTCGGTATAATTATATGGTAATCATTTGGTAATCACGAGAAGAAGTATTTTCGTATATATATATATATAATAATTATATATATATATATTAATTATATATATATATTAAATTATTTAAATCTATAGTGACTTGTTGGTATAACCATAGGGTATAACTATTCCTTATGGTAATTATATCGCTATATATATATATATTTACATTACTATTAAATTAATTATGGGTCAAGGGTATAACAATTTTGGGATTTATTCCCTACAACTATGGTTATGAAAGCACAACATATGGTGGTTTTTGGATAAGATGGTTTGCTGGAAAATTACCTGGCTATAGTTGATGATTGTCCCACTTAAATGCTGATGATCCCTGCTGGGATTTCCCCATTAATCTCTGACCTCCCATTAAATTCCCCAAAAGTTTGACTGAACATAAGGCACCCCTAAATGTTCGATGTTCATGATTATCTAATAGGTATAATTATTTTAACATTTTAGAACTTGGATTTATATCTATGTAGTATCTAAAATTAGGTGTGCATAAGATCATATAGGTATAGGTATTTGCAGTTTTCAATCACTTTTTTTGTGTAAAAAAGAGAACAGTGCGAACATCAGGAAAACCCTACTGGTTTCACCATGTTTTACCCATAAGAATCGCCAGGAAAGACTGCGATTTGCCCATCGTCAGGCAAGGGCGTGGCGCCACTGGTGGCCGCTTGCTCCGCGAGCCGCGAGGCTGTGGTGGAGGCCTTGCTGAACTGCCGCGCGGCGCCGGACGTGCCAGAGTGGCGTGGCACGGATGGCCGGAGCGGTGTTTTCTACAACGAGTTTATGGGAAAATGATGGGTGTATAATGGGAATATCTTGGGGATGTTTATTAATACTTGGATTTTATTGGAGATTTTACGGATATGAATGGAACTTACCAGGTGAACCTTGGATGGGTAGTTTAATCTTTTGCTATAGGAATATCCACTAACCAGCTAAGGAATTACTTTTTGTAGGGTATGTAAGATTGTCAATGATATGGGGGTTTATTCATGGAGATATTTGGTTATATTGTTTTATGGATGTATAATGGGGATACAGATGGAAATTGAATGAAGGTATAGTTTTTTCTGGAACTTATTTATATATTTGTGTGTTTTCTTTTACATGTAGTTTAATGGTGATTTAATGAACAAATAAACTGATTCCACTAACAAAAACTCAGCAACGAATAGGGGTATGATGATGATACTGATGAGGATATGTTTGTAATGTAATCTATCGAAATATAATGCGATAATCACTGTTTGGAGGATCCCGATTGTGGAATTTTTAATAGGGCTACCAGGGGAAATCACAGAACAAAATGGTGATTTTGGGATGGTGTAAAATTAAAATGCTCTCTCAATGGTTGGGTAGTGAGGTAGTTTATTGTTGGGTGTGCCAGATTAAAAACCATGCGAAATAAGTCCTCACTATTCAGTTGGTTATCATTATCCCATTTATGAGTGGGGTATAGCTATGGTACCTACCAGTTACCAAGTGAAATGATCCTCCAAGTAGTTGCTCTATATATATATATATATACATTTATATATATATAATAAACCGTATCTGCCATGTTCGAAGTTGGACTTATGCATGAAAAAAAGGAAGCCGACTATAGACAAAGGCTGGATGATGCATATATACCATGATATTCCCAGATTGGTGGATGGGTAGCAGTCAATCAGTAGAGATTTATATACCCATGATGTTTGGATTCCATCAAGGGCTGGATGACCACAACACATATACGATTATACCATGACCATGGCACGTATGAAGTGGGGATTAGTGGTGAGTAGTCCAACGAAACCTTATGGTTGGAAGTCAATTGATGTTGGTGGTTGTTTTTGAGGTGCCGCCCAAATGGTATTACAGAAAAAGAAACAATGATGCTTTTTAAGTGAGCTACACTGACACATAATTCAATGCCAATTCGACAACGGTGATAAATATATTGTTGTTCCGCATGCTTGATTAGCATACGGCTGGTGTGGAAGGGTTTTTGCCGCCTGGCTTTTTCACATGCGATTTGGTTTTGGACTCATATTTTGATTTAACGTGCTATGTGGACGACCAAGATCCAAGATCACACAGTTTCACACTTGTGAAGTTTGATTTCCACCGGATGTAACGTTTATTTCTTAGAACCAAACAGGTCGTTGCTTTGAAACGGCCCAAACAGGATCGATCCCACCAAGATGGCACATACTTATTGAAATGCATATGATTTTGGGATGCGCTTGACGGTTGGCTTTTGACATCATCATGATGAGTGAACTGAATTGATCGAACTAGCGTTTTGTGACGGGCATACATACAGTCACAGGCCGTTTAAGCATTTAATTGAAAGGTGTTAATCAATAAGCCATTCGTTTCCCTGCCGCTTTAAGCCTTTAAGCCGTGAAATCATGACATTTGCGTGGCTCTAGCTAGTCGTTGTTTTTCACTCGTTTTCAACCGTTTTGATTACGATTATCTTGAAAGTCCCCATGCGCACCCCGACAAGCTGAAATTCAGTATTATTGCTTCCCCTCTATCCTTGTTGAAAGAAGCAAAAACATGGAGGATCACTCCCAAGATGATCAAACCGCAGAGCTTTTAATTTCAAAATCAGAGTGATGTGATGTAGCACAATTCAGGTGATTCTGGATGCCTTTAGGCTTGTCACAATAAACATATTCTTTATTGCCGTCCTGTAATGAAACATTTGATAGATGATTTTCCCACTTCAATGTTCGTTTTCATGATTTTCAGGATTTTCATTTGCCATTTTTGATGACACGAGAGTGTAATTAGTCTTCATAATGTGGAAATGTAGTAACTTAGTAAACATTGGTAAACCCCAATAAAGAACAATAACCAAAATAACCATTTTTATTGGTTGCACAAACCATCCCCGGTCATGGGAGTTGTTTGTGGCATTGGTCTTCCGAAAATAACCCATCAAATCCTAGTCGGCAGTCTTGACAGATGGCGATGGAGAGAGAGAGAGAGAAAGATAGAGATAGAGATAGAGAGAGAGAGAGGAAAAAAAAACAAATCCTAGTTGCTGATAGTAACCTCCAGTTAAAACCCCATGAAATCTCATTAATTTCCACTAAATCCCATGAAAATCTTAGCTCCAGGTCCAGCATGTCTCCCTTGGTGGCTGCTGCCCTCGCCGGCAACTGCGCTGTCGCGCAACGGCTCCTGGCGGCTTCCGCCACGGCGGAGGCCGTGGATGCCCAGGGGCGCACAGCGCTAGCGGCGGCGGCGGCAACGGGGAGTGGGCAGCTGCTTGGGCTATTGAAAATCACCATTTATAGTGGATTTTCCCATTGAAAATGGTGATTTTCTATAGTTTTTTGTATGTTTACCAGAGGGTACTGCAGTAAGACAATCCAGGGATAAATGTATCAGAAGCCATGTCAAGCTGTAATTTGTACACAAGTCTGTACTTTTTTGATGACAACATCTCTACTTCAGGGAAATAGCCTCAGCAACGATCATAAAACAAGTGAAAGGCATCTACATCTTGTACTTAAGGACTAAATTCATGGGATTTTCGGGAGAATTTGACTGGAATATAAATGAATATTGGGTTATTCATGGGATACATGATGATACATGGAACTTATTTAATTGATCAGGCGTTCACCCAATTCATGAATTACCAAGGCATTATTCATGGAATATGAATGGGCGAATATCTTAATCACAATTCCACGATCAATGGATGCTATTATAGCTGGGAACATAAACTATGAATAGGATTATAAATGGATTATTAATGGGATATTAATGGATTTATATAATTTAATGGAATATGAAAGAAATTATAGTTTAGCATATGGTTATAGCTGGTTGGTGTGTTTTTGACCTAGTTTGAAATTGGAGCGTCACTTTTTTTTGAGGCATCACAGGCTTTCCAACCAAACCACCTGTTGGCTACGGGTATTAGTTGACACCTAAGGTCAAAATATTTTAAGATTGGCCACGCATGATGTTCTGTGATTTTTTAAATGGGATTAATACGGGTATATAAATTTTTTTCTGGGACTAGCTGACTAGCCATGTTCATGTTCCCAGGATGGAGTATATCCCATAGAACAAAAGAATAATGGGATACTGCAGGGTGAGAATACCCTTCATTATCAGGAAAACCCGGATTTACCAAATTTCCAAGTTCTCATTGAGTGAAAGATGGTTGGAACCTTCAAAAAGGATTGAACTTCTTCTTGATTTCTTGCGTTTCTGGCTGTCTCCGATTGTAGATGCACTTTAGTTGCTTTGCGTTGGACCCAGTTCGACGGTCGACCTCTTAGATTTTCGATAAACATTGCCAGGGTGATGACGAATCGGCTTCCTTTCCTGGGTTCTTCATCATCATCATGATTACTATGATCATTATCAATTATCTCTATTGATTCTCTAATTATTAATGAATTTCATTGCGATGAGTTATCACGATTATCACAATACTGCTAATAAAGATCCTACCATGGTACGATTCTAGATGGTAAGTCACCAGTTATTTTCAGCCCCCCACGTTTGTTTTGTTTTCTTGA